GGAGGAAAATGAGGTTATCAGGGCGACTTTACCATATAAATGCCAGCTTGATCTGTGATTTTTAGGTAATGATAAAAATTAATAATATTTACTTCTGATGTTTTTTTTTACTTCTGATGTTAAATCTAAACTATATATGGTAATGGATGTTGACTAGACTTACTGTGATGATCATTTCACAATGCATACAAATATCAATCAAATCATCATTATAATGTATATTTAAACTAATATTATCTCAATTATACCTCAATTAAAAATACAATAAATTAGCAATAGTTTTACTGAGTCTAATAAAAATTAATTTCCCTTATCTCAGACTTTGAGGGATTAAAATTTTTTTTTGCAGTGACAAATGGGAGCAGGTGAAAACATCTGATAGGAGGGAACAGCCAGTAAAGTCACACTGCCATGACGCCAATTGAAGGCTGCTAATAATCAAGGCAAAGATGGAGGAAAAAGAGAAACTGAGGACCAGAAGGGGACTGTGACTTGGTCTCACACAGTTAGCTAGTGATGGGGCTGGATGTGGCTTCATTGAATTAATACCAAATATGAAAACTTCTAGGTATTTGAACTTCTTAGTTTTCTTTGATTCTAAACAAAGAAATTTTTTCTTTATAATCTGTGTCAATTGTGAAAGCCATAACAAAAAGAAATGTTAAAGTTCTGTCTTTCTTTTAGATAAATAAGTAAAATAATATCAATTTCTTTCCAGGAATACTGGTCTCTGGAGGAGTGTGAAAATCAATTCTCCTTAATGTTAAGGTGATCTCAAATATATTTAAAATTGTCTCATGATTTTATTTTTAAGTTTTGATTCCTATAGATTAGAGAAAAATTATTTCAGGAGAGTTCAAGCATAGCAGTCTACTTTGTTTTGTTTAGGCCACCTTCAGAAGGGAGTGAGGTGTGATGATAGTATAAATTTGCCACTTTACAGACAGTAAGTGCTATTTGTAAGAATACCATTGCAGAATATTTCTGGTTCTATACAGGTATTTTAGGTAGAATTGTGATTTGAAGATGTTACAGACATGCTATATTATGTTGGTCTAGGACATCCTAGTAGAGGCAGTGGTGACTGTCAGTGTGCTAATATCCAGTAATTGAAGACTTGCTCATATGACTACAGTTCAGAGAAGGAAGAAATCCAGCTGGACTAGGGATGCAGGTTAGAGACAAGGCAGTAAGGTCTCCACATGTTGTTCCAGTCTTCTTTCCTCTTCCCCTATCAAGGCTCCTGCTCAATAGTAATAGTCATTGCCAGGGAAAAGAAAGGAGAAAAACAACAACAACAAAACCCAAAGAACCAATACAACTTCAATCAAAATAAGGAAATCTCCTTTGTTCTGTTATTTTTAATGTAAAGTAATCTGAGCAAACTCCAGAAAATAGTGAAGGACAGGGGAGCCTGATGTGCTGTAGTCCATGGGGTCACAAAGAGTCAGACACATCTTAGTGACTAAATAACAACAAAAACAATTACCTCATAAAGTGGAAGAAGTATTTTATGCCTTTTGTCACTAGTTATCCTTAAATGATTATAAGTCACATAAATTCATGGACTTTGTGTATGTTAATATAACTAATAAAATATGACATAGCAGTAACAAATTTCGAAAATAAAATGTTATCAGCAACTCTGTAATAATGAAATCGAAAGCATTTATATACCATTTTTAAATGTGTTGGCTCTCATTTACTCTGATTTATATCATATAATAATTTTTTTTACCTTATGATTTTGGTATACATTTTATTGAAAAGTTCTCTCCATGACATGCTATTGTGATTATTTCTATTTCACAGTATCCATTGGAGGAAATCTCTAACCACAGTACCTCTGGAAAGTTCATTGGTCAACCAAGTCTTGGATAAAATTGGTGCCAGAAGTTGGTTTGAACTAATGTGGTGAGTACCACTGTTCTGGTAATAACTCTCTCTAAAATTCTTAATTTTATTCTCCAACTTTTTTTCTAACCAGTGTTTCCAGTTTATTACAGATTATATGATTTTAAAAATCCAGAATGTAGGGAAGAGTTGTAATTGTTTATTGTAATCCAGGCAGATTTGGTGTGGAAAAATATTGATTCTTTGGTTTAGGCCTTCTCTGCCACTGGAGAAGGAAATGGCAACCCACTCCAGTGTTCCTGCCTGGAGAATCCCAGGGACGGGGAGCCTGGTGGGCTGCTGTCTTTGGGATCACACAGAGTCGGACATGACTGAGGTGACTTAGCAGCAGCAGCAGCCACTGGTATATACCTTTAGCAATGGGAGACATGGCTTTTATTCATATTATCAGGATCAGTATTCAGGTATATCAGATGATTTATATGCAAATTGGTAACTAATTTACTTGTTCAAATATGTGAAATAAAGTCAGATTCCTAGCTGGCATTTATGAACCTCACAGGATTTGGAAATAGGTTCTTTTAGGAACACCTAAAAATTTCCTCAAAATGTCTGGGACTTCTGCTAAGATCAAGTATTAAGTTTCAAGACTCTAGACAATTTCATAATATTAGGTTGAACAATTTATCTACAGTTGTCTTACTCTATAACTTACTGCTAAGGAAAATTCTGCTTTAGTAAGATTGATGAGCTCTTTGACCCCATCATGTTGAGCACTAAACCACATTATTTTTCAAGTATTAGACTGTGTTATCAGATGAAGCATTAGTGAGAGACTAGAATAATTTTTTAGTGAAAAAAGTTAATCACTAAGGATAGAACTGCTCAGATTAGGATGTATGTCAATTTCCTGCTCATTTCAAATAAAGCAGGAGGACAAAACAGTCATAGCAATCTTAGTGTGAACCAAATGTAACATAAAGAGACTTCTTCAGAAGGATATTTCTTGTATAAACAATAAAGGAGGATAAAAAATAAAATAAATAAGTCTTATCAATTTAAGCATTTGACACAGAGAGAGGCTTGTTCGAGATGAGACCTGATATAGATGAATTTCCCAGCTCAGTTATGGAGTGAAACATTTACCAATGGTTTCCTCCATACGTAATTTTATATGGCTAGGTTGTGTTTTGAAAACTATTATAAAACAGTAACCAGTGCACAGAAACATCAATTGGAACCATGTGTTTGATTGTGACCTGTGCTTGTGACTTGGCCTAGAAGATTTCCTTAAGGAGTCTTCTCTGTTAGCAGCCACTCGTCTGAGGAACGGCAATTTGGACATATTCCCTATTACTCCAGTGGGATAGCTTTAATCTATATTTTTGCAACATTTTTGTATTTTTTAGTTTGCTTCACTGCTAAATATTTATAGACAAAGACCCAATAGGTTTCAGCTTCCTCTGAAAACTATTGTGGCAGTGTCCTAAGCTTCGACTAGAGTAGAAAGAGGAAATGGCTCTGGGGATCAGAAGCACTCTGATCTGACCCAAGCTCATTAAAAAGGGAGCAAAGCCTGTTCTGTACATCTGTGTCTCTTTTTCTCCAACTAATAAAAATAAATGAAAAAAAAAAAAAAGGGAGCAAAGCAAGGAAAATTGAGTATTCTCTTTCTTTAAGGCCTTGTCTCCCTGAATTGTCTCCCTGAATTATGGATTGTCTTCTGTAAGGAACAAAAGCAAGTCAGCCTCTCTGGGCTACTGGGAATATGCCAGAAATTAGACCTTTGTTTTCAATATATCATCTGAAAATTTAGCACTTAGTAAAGTGATTTAGATATTCATCTTTACAGGAAAAAAGGGCTAACTCTACTTCCTCCAGGAGCCCCAAAGACCCCAAGCATGTTATATTTCGTTATCATTAGAAATTTTTTATAAAGGAAAAACATTGTGAACACTACTGTGAACTGTCTGAACTGGCTCCATATGTGTAGGTCAAAGTTAAAAATTCATGAAGGTCAGATTTCTTTTTGGCCAACCTCCAGGTAACTTGCTTCCTGCCTGTTGTCACTGAAAATACATCCACTCAGCACTCTGGACCCCTAGGTGATTAATTTATAATAATTGGCTGTAAAAGTCTTCACAAGATAATAGTCTAATGCTACTTGCAGTGAAAGATGTAATTAACTATGTCAGTCTATTTTTTTTTTCTTCTTCATCTCTTCTGAAGCTCAAGTGTTGGCCTTTTGCCTCCATTCAGTACACAATATGTTAGCCATTTAGGAAAATATAGTGGTTAAAAAAACACTGTTTATTTCAGTGGAAAGAAAAGAAAGCCAGTTAGAAAAGAGATCTCGTTTCTCTCTTTCATTGATTTTTTCTTCAGAATTAGTTTTAAGAGTCAAATGCCTCTCTGATTTTTTTTAACCATAGCTCAGTGGGAAGATATTCCTTTTGGTATACACTCCTGGGTTGTCCTGTTATGATAAAATTGTGTAGTTAAGGTAGAAACTCAAGGGAAGATTTCTGAAGTAGAGTGTTAGGAGGTGTTAGGAGGAAGATGTGTTACTAATATGAAGTTCAGCATACCAAGAAAGACAGAGACATGTGTCCAGCTGTGTTAGATGAAGGAAAATGAAAAAAAAAAAAAAAAACTCCTGTAATATTTCTTTGTGGTTAGGTAGGACTGAATGCTGGGCAAGCTCATAAAGCTACTCACAAACCCTGTTGAATCTTCCTAGCCTCAGCTGGGAGGCTTAGAGGTAATGTTTATACAGGGAAGAGAAACTGTATAGCCAAGTTACAGAGCAAACCAATGTCTGAATCAGAAATAGAACTCCTTGCTTCCAGTGCTGTGTTAAATCCCAGCACCACACCCTCTCCGCCAGACAGCAAAAGGTGCTGTGTGTTTGAGCAAGGGAAAGCTATGAATAGGGCCTTAGTGACAGTTTTCCCATGCTCTCTCTTCAGGATTGAGACTGTAATGCTTTATTGTCTTTGTTCCTTTCTCTCCCATAGAACTTGGTCATGCAAAGCAGAAGAACAGAAGTGCCAGACATTTGCAGACTGTCTGCTGTGGATATAGTGTATATGTTCTAAGAGATATAAAACTGAATAGAAAACTGGGGATTTTTGAAACAGTTATTTGAAAACAGCTATTTGAAACATGCCATCTTGGGAAGTACAAAATAATACAGAGCCAGTGAGCTAGAGGTATACTCTGGAAAGGGATCACCAGTGGGCAGACTGGAGGGACTCTGAGCAAATATGGAAAGTCTTCTATTATGAAAGCATTTTCCAAATAAAATTTATTGACAGTACTTATTGTAGAAGGCAAGTGCAAGCAAATCATAGTGAATGAGGCTTGACTTTAATGTTAGGGGTTTTTCAGTCCCATAATTTCATTAGATTATGTGATTATGTTAGAGGGATATTTTTGACTAGTTTGATTTCTTTCAGCAATAAAAAAAAAAAAATGACTTCCAGACTAATGGGTAGCATGTTGGGTGTAAAATGGTATATAATGTGGTTTAACTTGAGAAGTTGCCATTGTCTTCCTTTCTGCCAACCCCTTGGTGAAGCAATCTGTAGAAACTTAGATTTACAGCTCTCAAAGTGAGGTTTGAATGCCATTGACTGAGATTTTCCTGGCTTTTCATTTTTCTTTTTCAGATTAGATTCATTGACCTTAAGCAGTCATTGTGTACTGTTTTTTTTCTGAGAAAAATGGAAGAAGTCAGATGGAGCAAGGTAGAGAGGATGAAATTAGAGGAATTATCTTCCGAGCACTTAATACAAATTAGATGGAAATAGTGACCTCTCTCCAGCAAGGTCTTCTTTTTTGTGTGTTTTATTCTTCCTTTTCTCTCAGTTCTTCTATTTTTCATTCTCTGCTACTTTCTTTGCTATTCCCTGTTCTGCTCTCCGCATCTATTTTTATTTCTTCCTTGTCTGGATTTTTTTTTTTTCCCTCCTGGACCTTCCTTTGTCAAGATTCTTACCATACCCTGCTTTCATGTATTAAGGTCACTTCTGGCAAAAGTTGAGCTGGCTTTTGAGTTGAGCCATCTCATATGAGATGAAATGGCCATGAAGGAATATGATCTTACAGAAGTGTTAGACTCAGGGGAGGCACTCCATAAAGCTCGTTAAATGAGAATTCAGAAACAGCACACTTCCAATTTTAACTTTAAACTTTGCTATTAAAAATGCCAACACTTTTTTTGCACTCTGTTTTCTCGAAAGTCAGCTCTCATTCTAGGCACTACAGTGAGTGAATTTTTTTTTTTTTTTTGTCTCTCTCAAATCGTGTTTTCCTCCCTCAGGCCAACCACTGGTTAAAGTGACTTCAGACCTCTATATCTCCGGCAGATTCCTCCTGCCACTCCCTTTTCTGTTATATATGAGGTCCTGTGACCTGTTCCAGGAGTTGGAAAGAAAGAGTGACATAAGGAGGAATCAATTCAGAGAAATGGCTTTCACATTTTAAAATATAATCATGTGCAAACTCATTACTGGGTATGTCAGGAACAAAGACCACTTTCACTCCATATCCTCTTCATTGAAAAGAATTCATTCAGCTGCAACTTATTCATAGTGCATTATAGAGCATTCAGAAGTAGCCTCCAACTAATAAAAATTAAAAAAATAATAATAATAAAAAAAAAAAAAAGAAGACAGTCCTCCAGTGGCAGCTGTTGACCTAGGAGCATGTTAGTAAGATTTCTATATGCACCTTGAACGATATTGGTTCAGATATCCAACAAAGATAATTAGTCAGTGACCTCCACGTGTACAAGAATAGCTGTTCAACTCAAATCTACCTTTCATATTTCACTTTTATGTAGCTAGAAAAGGCTTTATTGACCTGGGCCATTTTAAAAGCTAAAAGCATGAATGTAACTCATGGAATGGGCAGTGGGAGAGGGAGTAAGACAATATCCAAGGCTCAGGGTCTGGCATGAAAGAAACTTGGTGAGGGACCACAATCTAAAGGAGAGAAACACTGCAATTATCATTTGAATTCTCTCTCTATAGAGGCTTTGTAATGGAGTGAGAAAAGTTTCAGCCAGAAGTTTTAATGTACTGAGGAATTCCTGCTCTCTGAACCTGTATTTTAGAAGAAAAGATGAATCAACATTTTATTTTATTTTTTAAATTTCTTTTCATTTATTTTTATTAGTTGGAGGCTAATTACTTCACAACATTTCAGTGGGTTTTGCCATACATTGACATGAATCAGCCATGGAGTTACATGTATTCCCCATCCCGATCCCCCCTCCCACCTCCCTCTCCACCCGATTCCTCTGGGTCTTCCCAGTGCACCAGGTCCGAGCACTTGTCTCATGCATCCAACCTGGGCTGCTGATCTGTTTCACTATAGATAATATACATGCTGTTCTTTCGAAACATCCCACCCTCGCCTTCTCCCACAGAGTCCAAAAGTCTGTTCTGTACATCTGTGTCTCTTTTTCTGTTTTGCATATAATCAACATTTTAATTCAGGAGTTTACTTATAACTTTTTAAAGAGGTTTTCCTGGAGGTCTCATATCCACATTTAGTCTTGTGCAGTAGAACTAATACTCAACAATGAAGTTTAGTAATACCAGAGAGTAGACAATATAATTTAGAGAAGCTTAATAATCCTCTGGTTAGGAATTTAAAAAGAACACCTGAATTCTGGTTCTGACTATACCATTTACATGTTCTTACAATTCTGACATTATGTAATTCTAAATTATATAAGCCTCAGTTTCTGCTTCTGCAACATGATGATAAATTCCTGCCTTGCCTATCTCATGGTGTTTTTGTGGGAATCAAATAAAAAACATTTTTGAAGTTAAAAAATTATACAAATTTCCAAGTATTAGCATTGTTTTAAATATCAGAGTCTCCATATCCCTACCCGTGCTAGCCTAGGGCTCCCAAGGAACAAATACCTTATTCCTGTGAATTGCAATGCTACCGTATAGTGCTTACTGTCTTGAGTGTGGTCCCTCCTGTTCTTGCAAGATACTCTTGTACTACCTTTTAACATATGGTAGGTAATCAAAAGGTACTTGTTAAACTGAACTGAATATGCATGTTATTTCCAGTCTGTGTGAACAGAATATCTTTTACTCCACAAAGATGGATGGAAGGTAGATTTGATGACTCTTAATCTTATCTTCCATAGGAGGAAAACATTTCCTACCAGTCTTTAGTCTCAGAGTGCTGAACCCTGCAGCCCGCAGGCCTCCTGAATAAAAGTCCATGGGTGACAGAAGATTCATTGACTTCCAATTCCAAGATTTAAATTCAAACCTCAGACCCAGGTTGGGCAATGCTACTGCCAATAATACTTGCATTGTTGATGATTCCTTCAAGTATAATCTGAATGGTGCTGTCTACAGTGTTGTATTCATCCTGGGTTTGATAACCAACAGTGCCTCTCTGTTCGTCTTCTGCTTCCGCATGAAAATGAGAAGTGAGACAGCTATTTTCATCACCAATCTGGCCCTCTCTGATTTGCTCTTTGTCTGCACTCTACCTTTCAAAATATTTTACAATTTCAACCGCCACTGGCCTTTTGGTGATACCCTCTGCAAGATCTCTGGGACTGCATTCCTAACCAACATCTATGGGAGCATGCTCTTCCTTACCTGTATTAGCGTGGATCGTTTCCTGGCCATTGTCTATCCCTTCCGATCCCGTACCATTAGGACCAGGAGGAATTCTGCCATTGTGTGTGCTGGAGTCTGGATCCTAGTCCTCAGTGGTGGTATTTCAGCCTCTTTATTCTCCACCACTAATGTCAACAATGCAACCACCACCTGCTTTGAGGGCTTCTCCAAACGTGTATGGAAGACATATCTGTCCAAGATAACCATATTTATTGAAGTTGTTGGTTTTATCATTCCTTTGATACTGAATGTCTCTTGCTCTTCTGTGGTGCTAAAAACCCTCCGTAAGCCTGCTACATTGTCTCAAATTGGGACTAATAAGAAAAAAGTGCTGAAGATGATCACAGTGCATATGGCAGTCTTTGTGGTATGCTTTGTACCCTATAACTCTGTTCTCTTCCTGTATGCCCTGGTGCGCTCCCAAGCCATTACCAATTGCTTGTTGGAAAGATTTGCAAAGATTATGTATCCAATCACCTTGTGCCTTGCAACTCTAAACTGTTGCTTTGACCCTTTCATCTATTACTTCACCCTTGAGTCCTTTCAGAAGTCCTTCTATATCAATACCCATATCAGGATGGAGTCTCTGTTTAAGACTGAAACACCTCTGACCACAAAGCCTTCCCTTCCAGCTATTCAAGAGGAAGTTAGTGATCAAACAACACATAATGGTGGTGAATTAATGCTAGAATCCACCTTCTAGGTACAAGAAGTCTCTTTAGGTCCAGATATGGTTTCTTCTATGATTTTTCTATGCTATGAATAAAAAATTTGAAGCTAATGATATTAAGAATAGATCAATGTACTGAATATAATCAGCTACATTTATTTGAATGTTTATTGTAATACATATATTGTTTTGTTCAATAATTATAGGTCACATCTAATTACAACAGCCAAAAGGAATTGCCAAACTGTTCTTCTGGGCTGGAAATTCAGTGTACCACATTATATAAGTCGACAGTAGCCTTGACTTCAGTGATACAGAGGTTACTTAAAAACTTTGAAAAAATATATTTCCATTCCAATATTTAGTAATTAGTTTGGGCCTATAAATATAGAACAAATTCAGGTATTTGTTTTTAAACAACCTTTTGTGTTACTACTGATATATACTAGTCTTCTTTTCGCTTTTTGAAATGTCGTTGAGTTTATTTTAGTACAAGAACATACTTTAACATTATTAATAAAAAAGTATCAAATTTAAAAAAGTAAAATGTATTGCATATATTTTAAAAGCAGAAACATAACTTGTGTTTGTATGAATATTGCTGGGAAGAAACGGAAAATTAACTGGATTTACATATTTGCAGTTACCAGCAGTGTCAGCTTTTAAAACCTTTTCCTTTTTTATACTATATTAAATTTCTTATATGAAATGTCAAATCCAGAAAGCTGCTAAGTATGTGCCCAAAACAGGGCAAAATGGAAAGTCACATAAAACAACAAATGTTCATAAAAAACTAAGAGAAATTAATATTTTCTCTAAGAATTTTCAATTTTTTTCTTTTGGGAGACTAATTTTTATAAATATTCTGTATGTGAAATTTTGAAGCACAGTGCAACCATAAAGTGGCTCCATTTGTGCCCAGGTCAGAAGCAAATTGAAACAAAAAGACAAAAGTATAACAAAAATACAATAATAGAACAAAAAACTTTCTTAAAACTTGCATCAATCATTTTTTGAGGGAGGGAGCAGAGATCTGTAACTTTAAATTACTTATGCTTTCGTATTAATTTTGGAGCACAATGTAGCAAGAGAGCTGCTGAATTTGTGCCCAGGTTGGGAGCATATTGAAAAAAAATACATAAACCAAACTAAACCAATGCAAACAAACAAACACACACAAAAAGAAAAACTAAAACAATAAAAGCCACAAAAATATTCCTAACACTTGCATTAATATTTTATTTATTATTTGACTATATGTAAATTTTAAATTACTATATTATTTGTATAAAATTTTAGAGTACAAGTAGAAATCCACTACATTTGTGCCCAAGTCAGGAACTAACTGGAAAAAAATAAAAGCAAAATAACTCCGTAGAAAACAACAACAACACACACACACACACACAGACACACAACTTAGAACTTTTCTGAGCATTTTTAAAACTTACAAGATGCTATAACTTTCTTATGATGCTTTGAATGAAAATGCAACTAGGAAGTTACTAAGCTGGCATCTACTTCATAAGCAGTTAAAATCAATATTTAAAAGTATATAAAAGAAAACTTTTTAAACTAATTTAAACAGCAAAAGCAGCAAAAACAGCTTTAGAATCTCTTACCGTTTATTGAATGAAGTATAGATTTAAGAATATTAAAACCTTAAACATAACTTCTGAGCATGGTATAGCTTGAAAGATTTGTGCTCAGGTAAGTAGTGAAAATGAATATCCTGCATACATACTACACACAACTACACACATAATAAACAAAACCAAAATATTCTTAAAGTATGTTTTAATCAATTTTTTAAATTATTTAGAGATGTGATAATTTTAAAATGCTAAGACTTCTTAAGTAAAAATTTCAGAAACAATGCATTTTGTAAGTTGCTGAATTTGCACCAGGGAGTGATTTTAAAAAGATTAAAAACCATAAAATAATGACAAAAGATTAAAACTTTTAAAGCCATAAGCTAATTGTTAAAACTCTTATTAACATTTGTCTTTCAGATATATGTAGATTAAAAACACTAAAATTTTAAGATAAAAATTCTTGAGCATAATGTAACTCTTAAAAACCGCTGAATCTTTCCCCGGACTAGGAACTGATTGAAAAAAAAGGCTAAAACAACAGAACGATAATAAAACAGAATTCTCAAAAATGGCATTACTTTTTTCCTCATGATCTAAATTCCTAAAAATAATCAGGCATTATATTGTCTTATGAAAACAGGTTATAGATTGAATATGTAAGGCATTAGATTAAGTTAGATGAAATTAGCTTAAGTTAGGTAAAGTTTGGTTGTTAGTTTATATTGTAAGATCAAATTAGTTATCAAAGTATGAGTAATCTTTTTGTTTCTTTTAGTATTCTTTCTCTTCTGTTTCTTATAAATATAAACTATATGTGAACTTTTGTTTGTGCCCTTGACTCTCAAAATTATGAAATTTTAGGCTTATTACACCAAACCATTTAATAGAATATATTAACCAGGTTGACATAAAATATATCATTAAACCAATTTCCTTCTGTATAATTTCCATATTTAGTTTTGTTTACTTTTCCATTTTTCAACTTATTTTAATTTCAAATTTTATAGTTAATATAGCTTGCTAATAATAAAATTTTTGTCATATTAACAATGTAACCAACAAAATGTAATGTAAGCTAAATATAAAATTACCTTTTATTTTACATTTAAAAGCAAAAGCAATCATTCAACTGTAGTTACAACTTGGATTTTAAGTGCTTATTAAATGTAATAAAATACATTTGGATTATCTAGCAGTTATACTTCGGTCAAATATTTCTTCAACTTGCCCTTTTTATTGAATTATAATTGATATACAATGTTATATTAGTTTCAGGTATGCAGAAGACCTGAATAGACATTTTTCCAAGGAAGATGGTCAACAGGCATATCACATGAAAAGATGCTCAGCATCACTAATCATCAGGGATATGCAAGTAAAATGAGATACCACCTCACATCTGTCAGAATGGCTATTATTAAAAAGACAAGAAACAACAAATTTTGGCAAGAATATGGAGAAAAGGGACCCCTGAACTTTGCCTTTATCTGTGGGTATCCAGAGACAATTTTATCTTCCCTCCATCTTTCAGAAAAAACCTATTAAAGGATATTTGATCTCAAATCAATTCCAATACTTTGTTTTTGAAGTTGTCTGAAGACTAATGTACAGTTGCAAAAGGAAAATCCCTGGGTGACTTTTCAGGCATCAAACTGAAAGGTTAAGCTGATTTGTCCAACTTGGTTTTGATTTATTTGCAGTTTATTGCCAAGTTGATGCTTGAATCTGACTTTTCAGATTTGCTGAAATACCCTAGGATGACTGGGAGGCCTGCGGAAAGTCAGGGGAAGGAAACATTTAATAACAGTGAGATGATTTTGGAAAGAGGTGGCTGACTGATCAATAACTAAAACAAGTGGTGGTCCCAGGATAGCAGCACAGGAAATTCCTAGTCATCCTTATGCCTTCTAACTCTCAGGGAAAGCAGTGTCAGCATTTCATAAAGCACATTGTATATTGGTTCCCCATGTCATGACAGCAAACATTGCCTTTTCTAACATCATGACCAGCATGGTCAACCCTAGGCTATGTTTAAAATTATAAGAACTTTGTCATTAGCGACCTTCTAAGCCAGATCCTCAGAAGAAATGGGGATATGCCATTGGTTTCACATCCTTATTAACCATCTTCCATCTCTGTCTGTGCTCCCAAAGCCCTGCAGTTTATGTTTGCTATTGTTTCCCAAACTCTTTACCTATGTTTCTTGTGGCCCTTTAACATCTCTCCCCACCTCTTACAGAAATAGTACTTCTTTGTGGACCAAAACAAATACATAAATGACATAAATGTCTGCCAAGACAGTGACATATTGAAGAAATTTACATTGAGACACCTCTACCCACTGCTTTTAATTCTCACTTTGGTGTTTGCATCTTATAAAAGGAGTCTGGGTAATTCAAATGACTGAAGCAGGGTTGGGATGGGGAGAGATGACTGTCCTTGTAAATGGTAAATCATCTCTTGAACTTCGGCCTCCCTCATCTCATGCAGTACAACCTCTGTACTGCGACTCTCTTTTCCCACTCTCTTGACACTACCCTGTGTACTACTGAGTTTAAAATATACAGTGCCTTCCTCCAGACAGTCTTTTTTTCCAAAATTGCCCCCTGATGACTGGGAACACATGCTCTCGTTTCATATATACTTGGATTATTTCCCTCAAATGTCTGCTGATCCTGGTGGACTTGGTGAAGTGGTTCTTAAAATATGAAGCAGTTTGTTTCAATGGAGAAGCCAAAGCACAGATGACTGAGTAAAAATTTGCCTGTATTCAGAGTTTTGAATAGCTATATACTTACCACTGCCTCGCTTCTTTCTCTCTCTGAGTGGGAATAGAGCTCTTCTGTCCCGAACACCCAGAGAGGTGCTGAATCCAGGAGGGCAGAGGAGTAGAGCCAGTGTGAAGCCTAAAATATGGCAGTGAGGGAAACCAGGCAAGCCCCAAGATTAGGATGACTTGTGTATACCTTGTTTTCTTTCTTATCATGGTGGAGCTCTGCCCTAAAGATGTAAAGCTTGTTACAAAGAGCCTTCATTGCGCCCACTGCTAGTCTAGGATAAACTGTCTGCTCAGCTTTTTACCTTCCTCATTCAAGTTGATCGTCTTCCTCAGTTGAGATTATAGGACTTCTGGACTAGTCTTGATTCAAGGAGGTTTGAGGTTCTTGGGAAAGTTTGGCTGGGGGAGTGACTCATAATTCATTCATTTACTTTTTCAACAAATTCCTTGAACATCAACCATGTGCCAAACATTCTTCTAGACACTAAGAATGCAGTAGTGAAAATAACAGACAAAAAGGCACTTTAAATCTTATGTTCTAGACTCAGAGCATGGAGAGCTAAAAAAATAAGCTAAAAAGTTCTGACTTTAAAACATCACATCACTAATGTTTGTTTTTAAAGGGGTTATGCAGCCCTGAATTGTCCAAATTCTGTGGTTAGTCTGTCTACCTTTAGCTGTTTATGCTCTTGCCCAAGCCAAAGACCTCAAAAGGCTCCTGAAAACCCAGGCATAGGCAACTTTCAGTCATCAAAGCTGATAATGTCATGGCCTCAGCCTCCTCTCCCTCAGGCTTCATCCTTCAGCAAGAGGCTCACTTGTTTTCTTTCTGTTTCTGCCACTCTGACTCCTTCTCTCTCCACCATTCTTTTCAGAAAAGCTGGTAAAGAATCCACCTGCAATGCAGGAAACCTGTGTTCAATCCCTGGGTTGGGAAGATCCCCTGGAGAAGGGAAAGTCTACCCACTCCAGTATTCTGGCCTGGAGAATTCCATGGACCATATAGTCCATGGAGTGGCAAAGATCAGACACGACTGAGCGACTTTCACTTTAGGGATTCCCTCACAGCTCAGTCAGTAAAAAAATCTGCCTGCAATACAGGAGACTTGGGTTTGATTCCTGGGTGGGAAAGATCCCCTGGAGAAGGAAATGGCAACCCATTACAGTATTCTTGCCTGGAGAAACCCATGGACAGAGGAGACTGGCGGGCTACCGTCCATGGGGTCCCAGGAGTCAGACACGACTTAGTGAATAAACCACCACCACTCCCCTGTGAGGCCAGAATGAGTTTAAATAATAACAATAGCAATATTAGTGGACATATTTCAAATGCTCATTAAGTGTCAGGAAGTAGCACACATAATCCTATGATCTCATTTTAAAAGTGACAAAACTGAGCCGAAGTAACAGGCCCAAAGTCATACAGCCAATAAAAGGCAGAACCAGGACTTACATATTTATACAGGCTAGTTAAAATCAGCAGCCAAGAAACTTGTTTTAATATATAATAACTAAGTATCAAATGTTTACTATGTGCCAGACACTATTCTTTACAAGTTCAGTCTCTCAGTTGTGTCTGACTCTTTGTGACTGCATGGACTGCAGCACACCAGGCTTCCCTGTCCATCACCAAATCCCAGAGCTTGCTCAAACTCATGCCCATCTAGTTGGTGATGCCATCCAACCAACTTGTGCTCTGTCGTCCCCTTCTCCTCCTGCCTTTAATCTTTTCCAGCATCAGGGTCTTTTCTAATGAGTTGGCGTTTTGCATCAGGTGGCCAAAGTATTGAAGCTTCAGCTTCAGCCCTTCCAATGAATATTCTG